ACTGCACATTAATTTCATCCTTCTTGTCAAAGTACTTCCAGACATCACTTCTCTTGACTGACATGTTGCAGGTGTAGCAGACGGTTCTGTATTTGTTGTGCTTTTGCTTTCGGTGTAATAATATGTTCCTGGGGGGAACAGCAAAGACCGGGGGGGAAGGAGCAGCTCAAGTTCATTTCATCTTCATCATGAGTAAGAACAGAAGGTATCAAACCTACATCAGGGTGAGCTGTTTTTGTCCTTCCTCCCTTTCAGAGTTTAAATACTTTTACTGCTTCTTTGCAGAAAGAGCTGACACCATCTCATCATGTTCTCATAAAAATGTAGTGAAGGTTGCAGCATTGGAAAGTAAGCAGGAGACTACTACTTGTTTCTAAATTTATAAAAAACGACATGAATTGTTTAAAACTCTCGGGTCTGAGTCACACAAAGAGTGAAAATAGAAAGTAGCCCTCAGTGACACCTCGCCAATCTTTATATGGATTTACATTTGTGTCATCTTGACAGCTGACCTGATTAACCTGCAAAATGTCTTCTGTATGCAGGGTTGTTTGAAGCCATATATACCTGATTATGACTCTTTCTGGACACATCTTCATCCTTCAGCTCCCCCTTCCCCTCCTTCCTCCACACCTCCTCACAACCGTAACCAAGTTCCCCCATCATTACGTCTTTGTATAGCCTTTAAAGGGGTAATAGCGCTGTCCAAGTTTGTTAATTCACTTTGTGTTACAGCATTGTGGAACATTGAGTGGAGCTTGAGAGACACGGCTAAAAAACATACTCAAGATAGCACACACACATCCCTCTTTTCCGTTGTTACATATTTCATGCATGTTCCCCCGTTAGGCCTCTGTCATGACCTCTGATGGCGGATCAGGGATCGCCCCGCCATTCTGTAACCGTGTGTTATATGATGCACACTGCAGGATAATCGGGCCGATTTGAGCTCCGATTCTTCCTTCTCAACAATCTCAGGGTCGCTCCAGACTCGAGGCTGCTCGGACCCGATTCTCTGTTCAGATTCTCTCGTAGTGTGAGCGGTACAAAGATCCAATCTTAACGTCCCCGATCTGCCCGGCCATCGATTTATTTCAAACATGTTTAATATTTAGAATTTAAAATCTTGAGGATTATGTCATGAAAAGGGTCCGGCAGAAGTCGTGTGTGACTACAATATAATCACGAGAGAGAAAGGAGGACTGTAGTCATGGCGACCAGCAGCAGGACGCAACCAGACGTCTTTTTTTTTTTTTTTTACTTTTCTGTACAGATCATCAGTGCAGCACTTTTCTGAAACTTGTCTCCATATATCTACGATTGTATCAACTTTTCTATATCCTACAACAACTTCCACTTCCTTCTCTTTCACCAACCGCCGTCCTTTGTTTTTTTTCAAATGAAACTTTATTAACAATCGTCAACACTCCGTCCTGATTTCACTCGTACAGTGTGAGCTCTCCGGCCGTGTCCGACAATCGTCGTACAGTGTGAGCACGTCGATCTCAAGGTCTGGTCGGACATGCCACCCCGATATACAATCGGGGGGGAAAGAATCGCACAGTGTGAGCCTGGCTTTAAGTATTCTGTCTTCACATGTCAGTCTGTGAGCAACATGTAAGACAGAGTGGAAAACAAGATTCTGCGGTCTATTCCAAGTGAATCTCAGATTGAATTCAGGTGTTATCTATTTGTTTTTGTAGGACCGAGGGAATGTTTTCTTTGGTTTGGGAAGTCTGTTGGATCTCCTTTAGTTGTACTCTCGGACGCTAGGTTATTATGCACCAAGAAACAGCATCCCTGAGTGGGCAGGACCGTCTCGCTTCCCCCATAGGCAGGACTTACGGTTGGACAGGGAGGGGTACACACACACACACACACACACACACAGACACACACACACACACACACACACAAACATTTGAAACATAGTTGAGCCTCTGAGTGAAAAATGAACAAGCTGCATATCAGGAATATGTCCTCAGTTCGAAGGCTGTGAACACAGAGCTCAGAACAGTAAACCCAGAGGGAGTTCAACTTCACTCTCTTTTAGTAAACAATTTCTCCATCAAATATTTACAAAGAGAACATCTGATCTTTGATATATAAATATTCAGAATGTCGCAGGTTAAGCCTTTGAATTAGCAGATACCTCATAGTTCTCCCAGACCATCACACTTCTCTTCTCACACACCATGTATCTCACACGTTTTATCACAGCTGACTCAAACTTTCACACTGCTGCCTCACTGCTCACCTCAAACCCTCAAGGCCCCCTTTTTTGCTTCTCTGATTTGCGTCTGTAGACTGCGAGTGCTAATTATTATTGTCACCCCGCTGTGCAGATCCGTTTGATTGTTGACTCAGCCTCCAACATCAGTGCTGTACATAGTCTGCATTCTCATAATGATCTGTTCTACATGTGCTGTCTGACTCAGGTGAAATCAAACCGTGTGTTTCTGATCTTTCACTCCCTCTCTTTGTTGTCTTTACTGAACCAAACCTCGCCCATCGAGGTCGTTAATCAGGGAGCGCTCTAACGAATCAGTTAACCAGGAAGGACAAACAGCTGACATTTCCACATATGCACTCTGGATAGATAATTGCAGGAGGACCGCTCCGGAGATTCTCCCGACCTAGCCGTTCACATATGCTCCTCACAGCGGGGGACTGTGAGAGAGGAGAACAACATACTGACAAACAGAAAACATAATGCAGCCGTTTTATTACATGCACGGAGATCGTAGTGGTCACATGCAGACACTTTAGACAGTCACTGTATATAAACGTCATTCTCTTTCCATTGGCTCGAGTTGAAATCTCCGGAGTATATGCTGCCTCCCTCAGACATCAACTCACTTGAATATTCTGTGGAAAAAATACTAGAGGTCTGGCCGGATAAACTCCGGGTAAAGTCCGTGCGAAAAATGCGTCTGTTTGCGTTCACACATCGCCTAAAGAAGCCAAATCTCCAGAGTGTTTTTTTGAGATTTCCGTATGTGTGAAAAGCGTTTTTGAGTGTGGTGAATGTGCAGATTCCTGCTGTCCTAAACTAAGAATTAGCACCCTTGCTTCTGCCCTGCATGTATTATGCATGTACAGGATAAAGCTTGTGTTGCTTTCCTGTACGTGTCATGTATCGTATGTGTGTTGTGGGAAAGACTAAACGCTCTTTATTCTCTTCTTGTGAGCACACTTGCACACGTCTGCATACACACAGAGTAACATCATCCTCTTTTCCTTCTCCCCCCTTTGACCCAGTGAAACAGCTCATAATCTCACCCATCATTGCCATGCCGGTGGTGTAGCCACTTCCAAGGGCTCTTCCTCATCCCCCCCCGACCTCCTGGGCAACCCTGAGGGTGACCTGGAGTTGAACCCGCAACCCTCTTCCCTTTAGGATCAATACTGAGATCTGAGAGGCTCCGCCGATGTGCCTAAATCCTGCCGTGGCTCTACTGGCATACTGATGTGTGTGTGTGCACACTGGGAGGGACGGGGTGGGAGACGGGGGGAGGAGAATGAGAGAGGGAGCAAGGCTTTGATAAAATGTGAGGAAATTCTTCAGGCAGTACCTGTTGGGAGAGATGAGAGGTTAAGTGGGTGTTCATGCCAAATACAGTTAATTTGCATTTATGTCTGAAATTTTTATCTTTGTGTGCGTATGAGAGAGAGAGAGAGAGAGAGAGAGAGGGAGGGAGAGAGAGAGGGAGAGAGAGGGACAGAGAGAGAGAGGGAGGGAGAGAGCGAGGGAGAGAGAGAGAGAGGGAGGGAGAGAGTTCATTTTGCTCTTTTATCTGAGGTGAATTTAAGGTTAGGCTTTGTACTGCACGTAGGGGTTTTATTGATATTTAGGGTCAACCTTAAGTTTTCCTTTGACGTGGAACAGACAGACCAACATGATGTCTTCACACATGCACAAAACTCCTCAATTTATTTGTGCTGACCTGCATGCGTGAACACAAACGTCAGAGTATTTCAACCTGACTTTGAGGTGAATTTTCTCCTGCTAATAAGACTCGGTATTCAGTAACGTACAAGAGTTTTTATTTTTCAGATTTGGAACTTGTTTTTATAACTTGAGACATGTTTGATCAAACCAATCATGGAAGTTTAAAAATTCTGGCATTGTGGGGCACCGGTGGCCTAGTGGATAGAGCGAGCACCCAGTGAACAGACGCTAAAGTCCTCCAAGCTGGACGGCTGTTTTCAAATCCGACCTGTGGCTCCTTTACCGCGTGTCATTCCCCACTCCCCCTCTCTCCCAGATTTCTAAATCTATCCACTGGCTTATCTCTAAATAAACCTTTAAATGTCCTAAATGTCAATACAGTGGGTAACTTCTTTTTTCATGTCTGAGGGAAAGAACCCATCATCGTTCTTTTTTTTGTTTCTTCAGCCCATTTCTGATTCTGTCTCATCAGCCTGTTTTCTTGGATCTATGTCACATCTTGTTTTAAGAGACTCTCTTGTTTAATGACAGAACTATGAAAACAAATAGTTTAATGAGAATGTAGTTGACTGTAATTCCAGCATTCAAGAGACTTCACTAATGAGATATGACATCGGTGTGCACCTGTTCGTTACTGTGAATATACATATATGTTATTTAATTTAAATGATCAATACACGCACACTTATTTATGTAAATACTATAATTGACTTATAATGAATTAACATGACATCATGTTACTTCATCATCTTTTGCACTATTCACCACTGCACTGTTTAATGTTTAGTCATGTAAATATTAGTCTTTTCTTATTCTGTTTATTGTTGATATTTAATGTTGTACCTGTACATAAGAGAGCAGTTCACCAAAGTTAAATTACTTGTGTGTGTAAGCATACCTGGACAATAAATCTGATTCTGATTCTGATTGTTGAGATGTTCTTCTCTGCTTCACGTTTGTGTTCTTACTCTCACATATCACTCACTGTGTAGATCTTAATTAACCTCTCTTATCACCCCTCATCTCTGTTCTGTTTGTGTGTCTGCAGTTGAGTCCCGGTCTCATGAACACAGTGCTGAAGGGAACCTTCAATGTGACGCTGGATAACCCCCTGAGCCCCTGCTGCCCCCCATGTGTGGCCCCCGGCCCGTTCAAGGCTCACAGGACCATTACCACCGTCCCACATAACACCACCTACACCTCGCGCACTTCTTAGATCTCTTTGAGGGTCAAAGTTCAGAAGTGAAAGGTGAGCAGGGTAAAAGATTAAACTTCACATTTCATTTCATATTCAGGAGAAAGCTGGTTAACATGAATATTAACGCTCCTATCCATATCAGATGTAATATGTTTTTTTTTCATGTTTGTATTCTTTCAGGTTGCAGGGTGAGAGAGTGTTAAGTGTTGCAAAGTGAAAAGCACACAATGCACCGTACATCTGCAGCTCATGGTTCCCTGATTCCTTACTCTAAGTCATGACAAGCTTGACACTCTGATTCAGCTGTTTTGTGCATCAGCTCTCTCTCTCTGTATAAACCACTCCGTAAATCAATAACGATTAAAAAGCATTTAATACCAGTTTGGCCGGAGGTCTTGTGACTGCATGTTAATCTCAAAAAAATGACTTTCATGGGCGACGCTTTGTTGTCCTCAAGCAGCAATCAATACATCAAATGTGACATTAAAAAGACAAAGATTAAAGAGTATGGGGAGATTCTGCAGATGGTTTTTGGCCCATAGGTTTTGACTTTATCGCTCTCATAATAAAAAGGCAGTTTGAGATCAGAAGTCTTCAGCTTGATTAAAACTCAGAGTCTGTAGCCAGGATAGTCAGTTATTATGTTATATTTAATGAAAATAAACCAGAGCCGGAGACAAGGAGAACAAATGCTGACAGAATTCTTAAAGATTTTTAGCCATACAATAATGCTTTGCAGGCATAAATGATGAAGCTATTCACTTTGCACGTTTGTGCTGACTACCAGAGAAAGAGTTGTGAAAGTTATAAAGACTCATAATGTAGTTTTTTTTTTGTTTTACTTCTAGAGCATCAATGTGTTCATTAATCAGCTAGCATCAAGCTAACGTGACTGTCAGTCCCGTAAATATAATTCAACAACAATATGCAAACGTTCATTACTAATACAATTACCGAGTCATTTTAATATTATTTGCAAACATGTATTGGACGATTGGACAGTCTGAATGCCGCAGTGCATTGTGGGGCAATTTAGTATGACCTGTATGCTCCCGTTTCGTACTTCAGTGGTCTGGCTGATTTAGCATACATCTTGGTATTTCTTGCATACACAAAAGTGCAAACTATGATTTGGATCAAACTACAGTATGCTGTTTCGGACACAGCCGTTGTTATTCACTTTCTGTTTAAGCTAACGGTAAGGAGGAAGGTCGATACAGCTCTCGTATGTAAGTGAGTATTTTATTTATTCAGGACTTTTCACAGACATTAGCCACAAAGTGCTTTACAAAGACATAAAATACAATAAACAGTAGTAATGATGGTGTAGTTAGAATTACCGTAATAGGAACAATAACAACAAGAGCACATAAGAAAAAATGAAAAGTTAAAATAAATAAAAACAAAAAAGAGTTCCCAAAATAGAATGAACAATACGTTGACAGCACATTAACTGATTCCGAAAGTTATCCAAACGCCTGCCTGAACAGGTGTGTCTTAAAGTTGACAGATTCAGCAGATGTCTCTTATACATGAAGCTTCAATAGTTAGACCAGGAAAGTCTCTGCAGATGTCTGAGCAACTTCATGATGGCGACTTATTTAAAACAATCAGATGAAATTATTAACGAACAAGCTATTAATTAAGCCACTTATATAAAAAAACACTCTGTCAGTATGTGCAACTGTCGACCCTGTGAGGTAAATTAGGCCGGGAATACGAGATATATAAGTCTACCTTGACTTTAATTTTAGTTCATGAAACAGACTGAATATGTAGCAGAGGCTACTTATTTGGATATTTAATGTCTGGACTCGTATATAAAAAAACTACAGGGTTAAACACACTGGATGACTTTGCTTTTTAAAGTGATTCAGAGACCTCTGAAATCATAAACCGCACCACAGACCATGAGATATACATCTCTAAAAACCAATGAGGCTGATATACGTGTCAGAAACTAATAGAACAGAAAGGTGGAAGAGGCAAACGCAGGGGAAAACAGCTAATAGCTGAAGTGCAGTGAGTTCCTGACCTTGTTCATCTTTCATCACAGGGTTAGAGATGGCTGGCATGGGCGGGGTGATGCAGGCCGTTCAAAGTGTCAGATAAACCGCTTTTACTGGCCGTTACCAGCTGAGAGAGTAGATTTATGCCCCTCTCCTCTGCTGATCACTCACCATAAATCAGCCATTCATAGCTGTGTGTGGATATGTGTGTTGTCAGCCTTTTAAGACAAAATAAAAAGAGAGAAAGCATACTAAAAGTGTTAAAGAACTTGTTGTTTGGATGCTTTTTTCTCACACCTGATTTGATATAACCTTTCTCTTGAATTTCTCGCCTCACCACCTCCCTTACCTCCTGTGTAGGACCCCTCCTTGTCCCGCTGTGTTCAAAATGTCTCAGCGAGCGTGCAGAGTAACGGGGTTCGGCAGACTACCATGTCTCTGATTGTTCCTGTGGGCCTTTTAACCTAATGAGGTGTTTACCCCCTATCATTATTCAGCTGGGAGCGCAGCAGAGGGAGAGGAAACAGGAGGGAGGAGGGGGAGCGAATGGAAACAGAAGGAAAGCTGAGAGAAAAGTGGAGGAAGAAATAAAGAGGCTTTTGGAGGACGGAGAAAAATACGAGATTATATATGGTCGGAGGAAAAGATCAGAGAGTTGAAAGTAAACGAGAGGCAGAGGAGGAGAGGGAAGGGGGAAAGAGCCGGGTGTTATTTATGCCTCCCTCGGCACTCGTCTTTACCTTTTTTTTTTTCCCCCCACGAGCTGTTTTACATCGGCGATCTAATTAAATCAAATAAATCACAGTGCACACACACTAACACACACACACACACAAAGAGAGCCACACCATCCATCCCCTCCTGATTCTTGGATTGTGAACATCTCCTCCCTCCTCCAAGATTGAATAAATCTCGATTATGGTGCATTACACGGCACATCATTCATGTTGTTTATAGGTCTAAAATATGCAAACAGACCAGGGCCGTAAAAGTGATCGATGCTCAAACGGGCCCTTTCTCCTGTTCCCTCCTCGTCTCTCACACAGGCACCGAGCTGCGTCACTTACAGGAGGAGTCTTGTGTGAGATGAAGACATATTGTTCAGTGTCCTTACACTGTCCCCTCTTGATGGCTATTTTTTATTGTCTTTGTGGCCATGCCGGCATCAGACAGACTTTTTTTTATAGCCTCATTCACTCACGCATGCTGTCTCTGCTGCTGAGCCATTATTAATTCTAATTAGCTCAAAAACCTTGAGCGCTGTCCCGGAGAGATCTCATGATAATTGTAAAATGGAGTTAAATTGATCCGTGTTTTTATTGGTCACAGCAGGACTCTCAGTCGGTTGTTTTTCAGAAACACAGGAAAACAACTCACAGCTGCTAATGCTCGGGTGTGTTTCCAGAAAGCAACAACTTCTCAGATAATTGTCGGGGCATGTGCTGTTCAGATGTGTTTTTAGCAGATGTGTAATTTTTTGGCCAAACCAAGCATGAAATTAATATTCAGATTCAATGATAAACAAATTTGTAGAGGTATGTTGACATTCAAAGCTGATAGAGCTGCACGGGGAGCTGAACAGGTGTACTGCTAATGGCAGCTGCTTGTCAACAGGCAAGGCAGGCAACTGCTTGGGGAATCCCAGACCAGTAGGGGGCCCCCTGAGGGCTGAACTAAAACGTAAACCAAAGAAGTGGTCCTAAATCTGTAAATTTTGCAATGACAGTGGTAAACCTCCCTAAGGGGGGGGGGGACTCACTGTCGTTGCCCTGCTAAGTGTTGCAGCATTATTGCTGTGAAAACCAAAGTTTGTTAATGAAAGTCAACAAAGGAGGAAATATCCGTCTCGGAGAGAAGAAAGAAAGAGGAAGAGGAGTACGTGTCGGGACTCTGGCAGACATGATGGTGATGAACGGCGGTTGGAGGGGCCTCCCATTGATTTTTGCCAAGGGCCCCAACAGGCTTTAGAATCGCCCTGAATGGCAGAGATTGTAGTAGGACACGAGGTGTCAAAAAGGGTGCAACAACAGTGAACAAATCCAGTCAGGGAACTGGTGAAAATATGAAAATCAAGGCATAGTAAAAAAACAACAACATAGAAAACACCTTTAGGAAACTTCTGTAAAGTTGATTTATGAACCCACAAGGCTGTAGAGAGACGAACTGAGAACTTACTGTGGTCATGGGTATGAAAGCTATGTATTACTACTTTTCAGTCACTTCCTTCTATAAAGGGCTGAACAGTGACCGCCCACTTTTTTCAGCGGCTCTGGTTCCACAAATAAATGTCCTCATTCAAATCCTCCAGTGACATTACACAAAATATTTCTATCACGAGATTGAAGACTGTAACCAAGACAACCAGCTACCCCCATACTCATTTGTAAAAAAAAAATGTCCTTATTAATAAACACAATAAGGCAGTTGACTGTGCATGTCTACACATGTTAAACAAGCTAATGTAGCAACACAGCACTAGCATATAGCGTCTTAAACAAATGAATGGTAAAGTTAACACTAGCTTAGCAGTTAGCATCTATATAGATACAAAACATGTCCTTTCTAAAATGAATACACATCAACGTTTATACCTGCAGATGTAGCTTCTACTTGAATGTAACTTTTGTCGTTGTTATAGTGTTCATACTGTTAATCCAAGTGTTGTACAATGTTTTAGTTCGCTAACTAAGTAGCTAGCCTGCTAGTGAAACTACTTGTTTGCACACGGCGCAGAGGGGCGGGAAACATTGCCATGCAAACAGCAAACCAATCAGAGACGTCGCTGTGACACTCTATGATCGTGGGTAGTGTAGTTCTTTTATGAAGTAGAAAGATATTTTTCTGCAGGATACTTTAGTTTCTCCTTGAACCAGCATTAAATAAAAAAACAGTATCTCTCAGGTACATATAAGTGTAAGTAGAGAAAGTCATTGGAGAGACTCAGCGCTGCTTTTATCAACCGACTGCTGACATAATCACTCATTTAGTCGATACATGTAAATGCAAAGTGTTATATTGAGCCACTATCATCTGGAGATGACAGCTTTGCGCTCGCAAATACAGCTAGTTGAAGGCCAGATTAGCCGGTATGTTTAATTAAAGGAGATGTACAGTAGTGCAGGAGAATCAATAGAGAGGTTAACAAGTGCTGACAAGGGCAGGACAGACAGCCAGGCTTCATTTAGATACAGTGAGAGGAAGGAGACACGAGAACAATCGGGGGCAGTCACTGCTGAACTCGTCCCTGTATCTAACCTTTTACGCCTGGAGGACATTTTCTCCCCCTTGATGTAGTGCACAGGTGCATTATGGGAGCTTCCTGTATTGGAACTTGCAGGAGGCAGTTTGAGGCTTCTGCAGATGTAAGATTT